GAAAAGAGACTACAACAGTGGCAAGAAGTACAAACGGAAAACATTTGTAAATTTAAAAGCAAATTAAATACATTAAAGGATGATTTATTGTCTTTTACACAAAGAGGATACATTAAATATCGACTTAACCAGCCCCAGACAACGGCAAGACCCTTCCAGACCCCGCAGCTAAACCCTAATGCAGACATCTTCAGTCCTGTTAGAAGTCACATCCCAGATATGAATGTCAGCAATAGGGGTGAACTAATACGAAGGAAGCCACAGGAATTCTATGGGAAGGCACCGTGGGAAGCATATAGAGCACAATTTGAGATGAATGGGTGGATGGAGGAGCAGAAAGCAGTATATCTGGCAACGAGCTTGAAGGGACAACCACTGGAAATACTTGGACAGTTGTCAGCAGATGACAGGCACAACTATAGAGCACTGGTAGCGGCTCTAGAACTCAGGTACGAACCCAAAATCAGTCTGAAGTCTACAGGGCTAGATTTAGGACGAGAGTCCGTGCTAATAGAGTGAGCCTGCAAGAGCCGGCACAGGACTTGGAAAGTATGGCACACACACAAGGTCTACCCAACTGCACCACCCGATCTCCTCAAGTTGTTGCTGAGAGATCAGTTTGTAGACACCTTGGACAGTCCACAACTAAAGGTACAAGTGAAGCAAGCACACCCCTCTACCATGCAGGATGCAATGGCCTGAGCTTTTGAATTTGAATACTACATTAAGTCCAACACAGAGGTACCAAGATTGGTACAGTCATCAGGGTTCAAGGCCAGAAAAGTTCAGCTTTCAGAGAGGTTTGAGGGACTTTGCTGGCACTGTAACAAACCTGGGCACAAAAGAGCTCAATGCTGGCAACTTCAACACAGTAAAGATGCCATGACAGGAAAGGCTGCTTCCCAGATATGTTGTTGGAACTGTGGAAAGCATGGACATTAGGTGTCATCAAGCTGAAGTAAAAGTAACTGAAGGAGTTGATGATGATGAAATGGGACCAGGTAGAGATATTAAATCAGAGCATGAAACCACTGGATACACTCCAGCAAAGTTGATGTTTGGTTGGGAACTTCGGTTGCCAGTGGATCTGTTAACAGGACGCCCACCTTATGAAGAGTTGCCTGAAAATGTGTCAGAGTTTGTGAAAGTGTTATCGGAAAGGATGGATGATATTCACCATCAAGTGCGTTCAAACTTGAAAACGTCTGCTGATTCCATGAAGCTATGTTATGATAAGAGATCTACTGAAGTCAGCTTTGTACCAGGAGACAAGGTGTGGTTGTATAATCCCAGGAAGACCAAAGGAAAGTCTCCTAAGTTGTTTTCTCCATGGGAAGGCCCATATTAATTAACTAACAAATGGAGACGTAACAATATTGTGAAATATCAGATCTGTTACAACTATTTCTAACATATCTTGTGTTTCAAGTTAATGAAAGGTGTAATAATTTCTACATAACTTTTATATTTAATATTTACTTGTTTTTCACTTATTAGTATTCATTTATCAGTTTAAATATCTCCTGGTGTAGTAACATAACAATTGTAATACTTTCATGCAGCGTCATTTCTGCGTCTTTGCTGTGAGTTTCCCGGGAATGGAAGCCCTCCACACTATTTACAATAGTATACTGTCTCAACATTTGGGAGGAACATTTTACAAGTTTTCACCTGGAGTTCAGAAAGTGTGTTCTGTTCTTGTGACAACTGCTTTAGCTCTACATCAGAAGGTTGCACAGACTTTTCTTCCTACAGCTATCAAGTTTCACTATGTCTTTAACCTCCGTGACCTCTCAAATATATTTCAGGTGATACAGCTGCTCAGTTTCTAAATATAAGTCATTTTTATCTTTAATGTTACTCTTGGTATAAGTAGAAATAGTTTTTGTTTTTTGAGAAAGAGAGTTTATAGAGTGAAGTAATTATTTCTAGCTTCCAAGAAAAAAACAGCCAAATGAAAACTCCAGTTAAAACCTGCGTTTATTTTCTAAGTTATTCATAGATTAAAAGTCAGTAGGTTTGTAAATTTGTTTTTTCATACATCTAATGTTATTAACATCTAATTCATACAGTCCAACCTTGCAACCATTTGAAACTTGGGGATTTTTTTCCTGTTAATTGTTTCATCAGTTTAACTGAGCAAGATGTATAAGAATACAGATATAGTGACATACACGATCTAAAAATGAGCATTTAGATAAAAAAATAAGTTATCTCTTTATTATTATAGATATTTATTTATATGGAGTAGTAAATAGAGCTCGGTGAAATTTGTACCTAGTATTTCTAAAGTATTGTCAGAACTGTTGATTGTTTAATATTTAGTAAAATACTTTTACAGCATTGTTAGTAACTGATGTATATAAAGACTAAAAGATATATACTTCTTTCCACTTTATTAGCATCTATGTATTTTATACAAAATAAACAAAACTTGGCATTAGAAGATACTTGTTTCAATGTTCTTGTTACAGGGTATGCTGTTTTGTACTCCTGAATGTGTGAAAACCCCAACAGAACTCGTAAGACTCTGGATGCATGAGTCACAGAGAGTGTATCGAGACAAACTAACAGAAGAAAAGGACATTGAGAATTTCAACAAGCTTCAAACAGAGGTTGTGAAGAAAAATTTTGAAGTGAGTTTAAAAAATTAGATTATTTACAAACTAACCGTAGATAACTTCAGTATACTTGTTTCCATGCATTTTTGTATAGCTCAGAATATGCTTAAGATGTTGAAAAACAAATTACACTAAAGAATAGAGTAAAATTGCCATAATAGCTGAAAACTATATATCTTACACATGAAATGTTATCCAGAAGTAACATTTTTATAACAATTGTTAGTTCTACAAAAATGTTTAGCCTATTACAGTGCAAGGTTTTGTTAATTCATAATTAAAAATGGACGTCTTCCTGTTAGAAAGTGAGTAAACACAGAACCACAGTTTTTGGCAGGCTATATAAATTAGACGTCAGTTTAGACTTAGTTATAAAGAAAATACAAATGTGATGTTTATATAGACTGTGGATCTGGCCCACTTTCTGTAAAGCTGTGATTTTTATCTCGATTGTATCTAGGATTTAGAAGAGCCTGTTCTCAACCAACAACCTCTTATCTATTATCACTTCACCAAGGGGATGGGGGAGAGTAAATACATGCCAGTAAACTCTTGGAATGAACTTTCTCAAACACTTACTGAAGGCTTAGATAGTTACAATGAAATCAATGCTGCCATGAGTCTTGTTTTATTTGAAGATGCCATGCAACATGTGTAAGTTTCATAATTTTTCATTTTGTTTCCAGTTTTATAGTTAATATTATGCATTAGTATCTTTTTGAATATTTCTTTTCAGTTATGGTATCGGCAGGCCTTTACTGAGAAATCATGATAGTAATATATGACATATATTACTCTTGTCTCTGTTTTCCTCAGTGTTGGCAGGTCTTTACTAAGAAACCATGATAGTAATATATGACATATATTACACTTGTCTCTGTTTTCCTCGGTATCGGCAGGCCTTTACTAAGAAACCATGATAGTAATATATGACATATATATTACACTTGTCTCTGTTTTCCTCAGTGTTGGCAGGCCTTTACTAAGAACCATGATAGTAATATATGACATATTTGGAGTTTCATCAATTACCAATGATTTCAAGTCTTGACTGTATAACGTACTTTCTTTTTTAAGCTGCCGTATCAACAGAATTCTTGAGTCACCTAGAGGTAATGCTCTACTTGTGGGAGTAGGGGGTAGTGGAAAGCAGTCTCTGGCTCGACTAGCTGCTTATATCAGTGGTCTGGAGGTGTTTCAGATATCTCTACGAAAAGGTTATGGGATTCCAGACCTTAAGGTGATATATATTTTGAGAATTGTTTCCACAGAATAGATTATACATTTATTAATTAATGAACATGAATTTTTAGCTCGTTTGGTAACAGAACTGGATGTTTTACAGTAGGAAACGTTCCTGTCATTAAATAATTATGAGAAACTGTTTATATATATTAGGTATTTTAATTAAAGTGTGTAGAAGTCCTGTTTGTATGAATACCCTAAGACTTTAAACATTTGATAACAAGAGTAAAATTATGATAAACATATTATATTGAATGAACTGCGTGGTTTGGTAAGTATGACATAATCATCTGGATATTGAATTATTTAAACTTTTATAAGTTTTACACAGGTTGAGCAGCATTATAGTAACTTTAACTGATGTTTTTGAGAAAATAAAATGTATTTTCATGAAAGCACAATGCTTTCACTTTAATATTTAAATACATGTTTCTACAGGCAGATCTTGCAATGCTTTATAATAAAGCTGGCCTGAAAAATGTGGGCACCATATTTCTAATGACAGATGCACAGGTGGCTGATGAACAGTACCTAGTGCTAATCAATGATTTGTTGGCTTCTGGAGAAATTCCTGAACTCTTTGCTGATGACGAGGTGGAGAACATTATAAATGGAATACGTAGTGAAGTGAAAGCTGCAGGTGTAATGGACTCTCGTGAGAACTGTTGGAAATTCTTCATAGACAGAGTTCGAAGACAGCTAAAGGTAGTTTGTTCACAGTATTTAAACTTATATGTAAAAGTGTTGTCTGTATTTTGTCGAAGATTTACTTAGCAAAAGTCTGAAAGAAAGAATCACTGGAAAAGAATTGTGCTGTGCTGAGATGTAGGTTCTTATGAAAGGGGTTTGAGGAGGGCTACTGAGATGATACCTGGTATGGAAAGGTTATCATATTAGGAGAGTTTAAGATTTTACAGGAAATGATAGTGTCATTTAACAATGAATATCTTAAGACTAGGGGACACAAGTATAAATTTTGGCAGGATATGAATCATCTTCAGCTAAGACAGTCTTATTTTTCTAACAGGATGGTTGGCTTTGGGAACGGATTGCCTTGATATGTGGTAGAAACAGTTAATTTAAGGGAAGGCTTGATAAGAATTTGGATAATTAGGGCTGACTTTGAGTATTTTACTTTTATTTTAGAGTTTAGTATAGTTAATGAAATGGACCAACATATCTCTTGTTGTATGTATCTGTGTATGAGTCAAATGGGATTTTTGGTATATTTTATCTACTGTTTTTCCATAGGTTATACTTTGTTTTTCACCTGTTGGAACAATCCTGAGAGTACGTAGTCGCAGGTTTCCTGCTGTTACGAACTGTACCTGCATAGACTGGTTTCACAGTTGGCCACAGGAAGCTCTTATGTCTGTTAGTTTAAGATTCCTAGGAGAAATTGAAGTTTTGCCTGTAAGTTTAAAGTATAAATTCATCTACAGATGTAGATAAAACTTGTTTCTTGGGATTTCAGTTCAATCTAATTAACTAATAGGTGCTATTCTATTAAAGAAATATTAAATAAAGACTTATGTATAGGGACTTAACACTATATAATGATTTTATTTTATTAGTACTGTATCAAAATTAGTTTATCATTATGTGTTAAATAGAAGTAAACATTTTGATAATGACTGTTAAGTACCCTTGTGGTATGTTATCCTTGAGATTACCTCACCATCTTTGTAAACATCTTGATATTGATTGTTAATTACCCTTGTGGTATGTGCTAACTTTATCCTTGACATTACCACATCATCTTTGTAAATATTTTGATATTGATTGTTAAATACCCTTGTGGTATGTATTAGCTTTATCCTTGAGATTACCTCACCATCTTTGTAAACATCTAGATAATGATTGTTAATTACCCTTGTGGTATGTGCTAGCTTTATCCTTGAGATTACCACACCATCTTTGTAAACATTTTGATATTGACTGTTAAGTACCTTTGTGGTATGTGCTAACTTTATCTTTGAGATTACCACACCATCTTTGTAAACATTTAGATAATGACTGTTAAGTACCCTTGTGGTATGTGCTAGCTTTATCCTTGAGATTATCACACCATCTTTGTAAACATTTAGATAATGACTGTTAAGTACC